AAGTTCAGGAGAAGGACTGGGACACAGGGACACAAGGATGAACGATGATGCGCGGTGATTTCCATGGCATGAAACAGTGTGTATGGACTGAGTGGAGCCCCCTTCTGCCCTGTAGCCCTTCACCCAATCCACAATGCAGAGGTTCTTCCTAAAAAGATCCAAGTGTGAGATGTGCTCGTGCAATACTGGGATGTCACTGTATCTTTCTGGATAGAGTTAGGGAATGTATGCGGGTGTAGATCCACATGCTGCCCACATCAGTGTTTTCTTTAAATCTTTATACATTGAAGAACCCCTGGGTGTCCAAAACATTTCAGCAAAAGGTGGAGATTTTGAATCCACCCATCGGAAACAAGGCGTGCCTGCCGTCTTCTGAGGTCGCGGGCATCGGGGCGCAGCTCCCCAAAACCCAGCCGGTGGTGGTGTCTTGAGCTCCAACTGCCTCCCTGGCAGCTGGTGTGATTTGGGGGGTTGTAGGTGTTGAAAGCCACAAGTTAGTAGCTCCCACCTTGAGTTCCCATGCAACATGAAAGAGTACTTCTAGTTTTTCCTTTCTGTTATTGAGAAACCTGCCTCTCATTAGCCCCAGTGTGTTTACTTACCTTGTCAGTCCCTGCTTTTGTAACCTCATAACACGTCCCGGGTGTCATGCCCCTGCCTCTGGTCCCCTGCCCCCAGACACTTGTGAAACGACTTGATGGCAGCTCGCTTAATGTTGGTTTTGTATATGTCGGTTTTTTGTTTTATTGTATATTGTTTTAAAATTAAAAAAACGTTTAAAACTTAAAAAAATGTATTATTAATTGGGAGTTCATACATATATCGCTCCATAGTTCAGGCACATCAAGCTGACTTGTGCAGTTGCCCCCACAATCCGTTTCCAAACATTCTTTTCCTCCTGGACTCCTTGACATCAGCTCCCTTTAGCTACTGCCCCCAGTCTCACCCCTACCTCTGTAACCCCACCCCGACCTCGAAACCCTTAGTCCACTTGCTGTCCCTTATGGGTTCATCAGTCCTGGGTTGGATATTGTTTTGTTTTTAAAAGATCATTTTATTGGGGGCTCTTACAGCTCTTATAACAACCCATACATCAACTGTATCAAGCATATTTGTACATAGGCTGCCATCATCATTTTCTAAACATTTACTTTCTGTTTGAGCCCTTGGTATCAGCTCCTCCTTTTTCCCTCCCTTTCCCCTCCCTTGTGACCCCTTGATAAATGATAAATGATTGGTATTTGCATATCTTACACCTACCACTGTCTGCATTCCCCCCCAGTTTCTGCTGTTCCTCCTCCTAGGG